CACAGTCGAATGTGAGGAGAATAATCGACTGTGATTGGTCAATTTCTTACTCTTACTTCTTACTCCGTGTATTGTAGACGGGCCTTAATAGAAATAGATATCGTGCAGAAAATATAAAAATACTTTGTGATTGGTTGAATTTTGTTCTGCTGCTGCATGAACCTCTCAGTTACTACATTTACACGGCACGCTTTAAGCCGAAGTTGTAACATCGATGTTATGAAACTGACCAATCATAGCTATACTTCTGAAGAATGGAATGACAGACTGGCCAGTTTCATAACATCGATGTTACAACTTCGGCGTAAAGCGTGCTGTGTAAACGTAGTAAATGTGACATATGCTGGATTCACACTGCATCCGATTTAAGTCGTACGACGCTTTGCAACCAATCAAAAAACAAGATTCCGATGGATTTTGTTTCGTATCATCGGAATCCTGTTTTCTGATTGGTTGCAGAGAATCGTACGACACAAATCGGATGCAGTGTGAATCCAGCAATAGGCCTTAAGCCATAAGGAATGGGCGAATCACAATCAATTATTATTCTCACATTCGATTGTAGTTAATTAATGAGTGCATTCAGTACTACAACCGCTCACTGAGCGCTTAGTGAGCTCTTGCATCTGATTGACATATTCCGTTAGAACTAAAAATATAGACCAAACAGATACAAGAGCGATTGTAGTACTGAATGCACCTAATTTCTTCGTTTACAATACACGGAGTAAGAAGTAAGAGTAAGAAATTGACCAATCACAGTCGAATGTGAGAAGAATAATCGACTGTGATTGGTCAATTTCTTACTCTTACTTCTTACTCCGTGTATTGTAGACGGGCCTTTACGGCTTGAAGCTTAAAACACCTAGGGCCAGTTACATCTACGCCGATCAAGCTTAATCATGATTAACTGTCAACCGCAATTGATCGATTCTACTAAACAGCAAACGTGATTGATCAGTCAACGGCCGATTAAGCTAACTGGCGTTGGTGAAACTGGCCTCTATTGTAGATCCGGACTGATGTGCATAAATCCAGATCTACAATAGGTGATTTAAGTTTTAAGCCGTAAGAAATTGACCAATTACAGTTGACTGCGAGGAGAATAATCGATTTGTCCATTTCTTATGGTTTAAGGCTTAAAAATCTATCGTAAATCCGGACTAATGGCTGCGTTTAGCGAATTCAACAATTAAATGAGCGCTCGCTGTTATTGGTGTATTCTTTTAGATCATTCGATCAGCATTTTAAATCTGGAAGAATACATCAATAGCAGCGAGTGATCACTCACTCTGTGAGTCCTCTGAACGCAGCCATTGTATCTTTTATTCTTGTTTAACATTCGGTGAACAACAAGGATAAGGGCCAGTTTCACCAAAGCCAGTTAGCTTATTCAGCCGTTGACTAACCAATCGCGTTTGCTGTTTAGTAGAATCGACCAATTGCGGTTGACAGTTAATCACGATTAAGCTTGATCGGCGTTGGTGAAACTGGACCTTAAGGCTTAAAACACCTATTGTAGATCCGGACTAAAAAAATTATCCAATCGGACTCAGTTGAGTCTTTTAGCTCATCCAATCAGAATTTTAGATCTAGAAGAATACATCAATAACAACGAGCTCAACTGTTGTGTCCGCTGAATGCGCCCAATGACAGCTCGGCTTTTTCTCACGTGACGATGCAAAGCAGAGCTCTCATTGGATATCACTCGTCGCTCATCGTTCATCGCGCCCAATAGGCATAATGCAAATTTTTTGTGACTATTAATGGAGCTCGGGAAGTTCGATGATAACTGAAGAATGAAGACAATATCGACAATTAATAAAAATTTTCAATTATTAACATAAATATTTGGATAATACATTATTAAATTCATGATTTTTTATTATATAAATACTACACAAATAAATATTTTTAATGCTGTAATATCTTATATATTGCTGAAAAATTATAATTTTTTCTTTACAGTTATCATCTCTATTGATAATTAAACTCGGATAATAACATTAAAATCACACTTTTAAGTAAAAATCAAGTTTTATTAAATTTAAAAGATATATACATGTCTATGAAATTAATAAATCATAAAATTAGTATTATATTATATTAAATTTTAAGAACCACGCAATCTTTCGTAAGACCGGCCGTCTTTAATAGTATTGTCGTCGGCGATACTGGCCATCGTTACCTTAATGTTTTGAAATTACCGCTACGCGTTACATATTTTGTCTAAAAATGGCAATTTCCGAGTACTGGCGACGGTCGCGACACGTTAATTTCACGTACTCTAGTCGGTACTAATGGGAACAGGTGTCACACTACTCACCCTACTCACCCTACTCACACTGTGTCACACACGTAAACGTAATCGGGCCGAATGCATGAGGCATGAGGAGAGCTGATGAGAGCGTCGTGGGTGGTAAGACGGCAGGGAGCGCCACATGTCAGCCCGTAGCCCCTCTGGTGACTCTCGTCGCTCCCGTTCCCAGACGGAATTATCATCGCCCGTCGCTGTTTTCTGTTGTGTTTTTGGGGCTGGGACTGTGCGGTCGAAGGGGGATAAAGAAAGGAGACATGCCATCGCGATAATCGGTTTGCGAAGGGGGGTAACGGTGTTGGT